GTATATCTTTTTATGATATGAAGTCATCGTATAATATCATAAACTATAAAAAATAAGAAAATAAATATCCCATAAAAAATTATAGTTGATTTAATAATATTTTAATTTAGTTTAATTGAAAATTCAAGTATTGTTTAGTTTAGTTTTCAAAATTGGAAACGGATACGGATATATCCGATATCCGACCGATATCCGACGGATGCGGATACGGTTATGATTTTTCAATATCCGTCAAGATCCGTATCCGAATTCGATATCCGACAAAAGTAAACGGATACGGATTTGGTAATAGCACATCCGATCCGATTAAAATCCGTTTACACCCCTAAGCAAATGGTACCATTTAAACACAAAATAAAATAAATGGTAAGTGTTCTAAAATAATTTAGGTAAGTGTTCTAAATAAATTAGAAAATAAAATAATTATTAAAACGATAAGTATTCTAAAATATATTAGAAAATAAATACGGTACGGTAAGTAAATGATACCATTTAAATAAAAAAATAAAATAAAAAACTACAAAATAATACTATCAATTAATACTACAATTTACAAGCATGGTAACGTGTAAAAATGGTAAGTGTTATAAAATAAATTAAAAAAATAAATATGGTACATTAAGCAAACGGTACCATTTAAATGCAAAAATTAAAAAATTATAAATTAATACTATTAATATTATAAGCATGGAAACATGTAACAATGGTATAAGTATTCTTAAATAAATACTTTTAATACTATAATTTACAAGCATGGATACGTGTAAAAATGGTAAGTGATCTAAAATAAAATAGAAAATAAATACCATAGGGTAAGTTAATGGTACCACTTAAATACGAAAATAAAATTAAAAAATTCAAATTCCAAAATAAATACATTAATATGTTGAATTATTACTTAGATAAGTCAAATTATTAAATTATTATCAAGAACAATATTTGAAACATATTGAATTATTGTTACGAAAACTGGTATTTAGTCATGAGAAAGTGTATGTTGCAGTTTAAAGAGTAATAAATCGCAATGGCTTGAAAATTCTAATATACAACGAAGTGAATGCTCACATAAATTATACATACGAGTGATGTAGTTTATAAAGAAGTCTTTTGAAATTTGTAAATCATTTTACTTTTGTACTTTAAAATATTGAAATCTCTATATTCCATTATATAACAATTTATATTCCTAAAAATGATCTTAAGTTAGTACCATAACTATGACCCGTGCAACGCACGGGTGTGATACTAGTAGTAGATAACAAAAAATTTTATACTTTTCAATTTAAATAATAAATAATCTAAGGCCTATAAACCATAAACTTTATAGTAATAAAGTCAAATCATAAAATAAATATATCCAAACAATAAAACTACATATAGTATGACCATAAATTAAGAGTTAAATAGATTTAATTATAATATAAATTGAATATAATTAAGGTCATCTTAGGATATAGTTTTAATATAGCAAATTTTTATATCATTTGTTCTTTTAGATTGTGTTTAATTTATAGTCAAAGAGTGTTAGTGTTTGAGTAAAAAAAGTCAAAACGAGAAATGTTTTTAGGACTGGAGGGAGTATATCTTTTAATATAATTTTTAAAATGTATTGTTTGTTTTAAATTTTACATCAATATTTAAATGAATCAAATCAAAACTAACTTCACTTTTACACATCATAATCAAATACATGTATCACATTCATTTAGAGGTAAAAAATCATCTTATTTATTGGTTGAAAATTTTATTATAAAAGATAAGAGTAAAATATTTAGAATCGGGAAAGGAAATTATCATTAAAATGAATGTTTCATTTTCATACTTAAATTTATTCAAAGATTTGCACTTGATGATTGGTTCTAGTGCGAAGAACTAAAGAGCCCACATAATATACTCACAATTCACTCTTATGTCAAAATACTTTTCAAACCTGCAAATGAACACAATTTTGTTAGTACGGAGTAAAAGAATCACACAAAAAACCAATAATGCTGATGAAAGAAAAACACTAGTCTCTCCGCCCGCCCGCCCCCCTAAGATCTTCTCGTTTTGACTTTTTTTTAGTTTTTAAGGAGACTAGGAGAGTTGAAAAAAAGTAAAAGTTTACCAAAATATCCTTAATAATAATGAATGGACTGTATTAAAGGAGGCGGGCGAGTGATAATAAATAAACTAAGAGTGGTTGTGGGATTCTATGAGTTAAAAAAGGTAATGAGAAGATCTGCGATGGGCAAATAGAAAAGCGCTAATGAGAAGATCTATGAGGGACGGAATGAGTAACAGATAAAAAATAATAAATAAAAATAAAAATAAAACAAATAAAAAATGACCATGCCTGTCTGCACAACGACGATGCATTGAATTCGGCCCATGTAAAATGCGTGCAGTGGCAACCATCCTCTTCACATCGGCCACAAACATTTCAACTGTGACATAACATATCCCCGATTCAACTCGTTCTGTTATGGTCTTCAGATCTGGCATCGTATAACAGCATAAGGCAAGTCGTACATAACCACCATATGTATAAAAACTTGATGAAATTTACCTATTGGATCATGGATGACATTTGGCACATCAACGGGCTCTTTGAACACCCCAACATCAACATGCTTATTCATTGCCTGCTTCAACAGTTTCATTTTAGTACAAACCCAAGTTCCAAAGAAAGTGGAATAGCTTTTTCCATGTGCGTGTGTAAATTTGTTTAATGCACGAGATGGAGATATTTAAAGTTACTTGTATATTCAAATTGCACAAGTGGAACACAGGGAAATAGCTCCCCTCTTGTGCTTAATCATAAGATCCCAGACAATTATAAATCCCCGCATGGTTGACCCTAGTCAACTGGATCGACGCGTTACCAAAACCAAATACTTTTCTCATTTTAAAATCTAACTCAACATGTCAACATTCATTAATGTGTGGAAAAATTAATGTTCAAAGATTACAAAAAAATAATCAAATATTCCCGTACCACAGAATTTCGACACAAAATTACAACGTACATTACACCAGATGACCCATGATGGGCGACACTCACCCGTCACATTGAGTACGTGCTACTTGAGTATAAAGAAGCACAGGCAGTTTAATGAGTCATTTCACATTATTCCATCAAACCATATAGCCACAATAAATATTGAATCTTTGGCTCTATTGGAGAAGATGGATAGAAAACATGAAATTACAAATCTATTTTGTTCACCCCACTACTGTGTCATCACTTCATCATGTTGGTTTTCCCACGCTTATCTTTCTAGGCGACTACACCGCCCCAACTTATACCACAAGAATTGGAATTGAAGTGAAGAAGAGGACCCCCGCACTCTCTGTTATTCTCTTTATTTCGGATAGACCCGGGCGAAAGAGATCAACTATCCTTTTTTTACTGCTTCAGTTCAATCGAGCATAGGAAAAACAACTATTTTTGCTGGTTTCGACCACGCAGAACAAGAGGAGATGCCAATTGATGCAAAATTACCGACGAAGTACTTCAAGGCATGATTGCATTTTTTTTCTTTTAAATTACTAAATACAGAGTACTAAAGAATGAAACTAAATTAAGATATACAACATACAATGATACAATTATTATTATTATTAGTACCATTATATTCTTTTATTTAGTTTTACTCATTCATCGTTTATGAGTAATTCCATAAATAGTCCCTAGTAATAGGTGGTTTTCATATTTGGTCCCTACTAATCAAATTACAAGCCTAGTCTCCATTTTTTGGCTCCTTTCCGATGCAAGTCTTTCGTCACTCATGTTATTATCTATCTGTTAAATACATGGTTAAAAGGTAATTTTCCATCCCCACATCTCAATTGAACCACCTTTGTCCTCATATACATCTTTTTCATATTAAATTTCATATTAAATTACATGATTTAAAAAAAAAACTTACTCTAGCGAGTCAACCAGGTCGGATTCGTGTTTGGTCGGGTTTCCCTATTTCTAGTGGGTCGTTTTGGGATTGGTCATCTTTGAGTTTCGTTAACAAAACCCTTGTTCAAAACCCAATATTATTGGGTCGGGTCTTGGATATAAAACAGGTCGTGTTAATTTTTGCATGGTATGGGGCAATAATAATGGACTTTGGGATTAACGTGTGTAATGGAAGAGACTCCAATTGAGATCCAACATTTGTGTCTAAGTTACACTCTATTTATCCTATCAGAATGATTAATATAATATCTATTTAAAAAAATCCATATCCTAAACCCAACATGATTGTAATCTTTATTTCCTCAAAATCTCAATTTTCTCAAGCAATAAAACATGGCACGTAAACTTTCCCTTTTTATTAAGATAAGAGAGTTTGGACAAACCGACGATATTTATCTAATTAAAATAAATTAGTAAGACATAATACGCAAAATGCGAGGTATACCAATATCTTAAAATCACTTTTTTTTTAAAAACACCAACTTGTCAATTTATTAAAAAAATTGACACTAATTAAACTATTTAAAGTATTTACTCCGGAGCATTTATTTATTTTAATAGTCTGGCCCACTTGGAGTATTTATGTAATTAAAGTGTTAGTGTTACTAAATTCTCAGCGGTAATTAGGGTATTATACCATTTATACATTAAAAGAAGCAAAATTTTGAATTTCAATATGCAATACGCATATTCACAGAAAACTAAGGTTTAGAGAACCAACCTTCAAAAGTGAGCTCAGGAAAGCATTTAAATGTTTTTGATTTGTTGCAGCATCTGTTGAAATGATCAAGGCTTCATATTGAGTATCTACCTTATGATCAGGAACCATTCCAGCTTCATCTACTACCAAATTAATCAAAAAAACATTATATATTTAAATAGCTGAACCTTGCACAAAAACATCAGTATATATACATTCAACTTTATAGACACGTGAACACACAGAGAGGTGATGTTACAGAGTATCACCATGACTTTATGAACTTAGGGTTTGCCCCAAAAGACCATTACCTAACCTCTCTAGGCTCCCTCCCCCCCCCCCAAACGAAGAATCTGAAGGCATGGATAAGAATCTAGGAAGTAATAGGAAATATAAAGCATCACCTACTTAGGGCAGTCAATATTATGAAGCAAGAGAGCTAAATGTTCAAGGCCAGATCGCAAATTTGTCAATCTGATATGGGGAAATGGGTAAATCTTAAATTAAATCCATATAAATATATTTCTATGACTACAAGGTGGTCCAATATATACTTGTGAAGCAGGTGATCGAGAAAATAGGGGGTGGTGCGTACAGACTAGACGTTTAACCAGAGTTTAGGATACATTTCACATTTCATGTATCCCTCTGCAGATCCTACTCTGATGCCTAGGCAATCACCAACAAAGATTCCAGGAAGCCTGCTAAAGAACTAATAAAAGATATTGAACAAAAGAATGAAGAATGGGGGAAGAAGGAGAGTCCCAGAAATATATTGGTTTAATCGAAGGGCGTGGCTGATAAGGAAGCTTCAGGGCTGCGACGCTGTTTACTTTTCAGTAGGAGTTCCCATGTTGGGTAAGGATCTGTTGGGGAGGCAAGAACTATAAAGTGATAATAACAAATATAATCCGCTTACACCACTGATATGGCTAGTTCGTCAGTCAAACACAGGAGGTCCTACCCATCGTCATACATAAGAGAATAAGAGATATCAAACATTAGGGGTATTGTCAGCTTTGACAAACACAAAATTATAACTAAATCAGACTATGACCAGGAACTTACTCGAGTCATGGGATTCCTTGGCTTTGGCAAAGTCTTGAGGAACACTAGCATCTTTCTGAAACAAAGGAAAGTTTGATTAAAATTAACAGCTCAGTTTAGAATAAGACAGATATGTTAACTTAAAGGATAAACCAAAGAACATATACTGATATCTAAAACTGTTAAGGAGACATGTTGATATCCAAAAATAATGTAATATGAACAAGACGTAATGTTTGACGGGAATTGTTAAATAATATTGCAGTGGATTAAGTAAAAAGTCACAGCAGAATATCCATATCCTTTTTGTTGATCACATCTCAGTCCCAAATTAATATTACATTGTTCACGTGAGTTTTGAGACAAAATCATGGTATTGTTGGATTCAAATAGAAGAGCTATTGTATTAACAGGAAGGGTTCATTAACAAACCTGCAACAGATGCTTTGGACTAATTTCACACTCCATATGAGTTGCTTCGTAATATTGTTGCATACACCTGGAAAAGGATTATACATATTCATACAAAGTTAAACTGATAAGATATCAAAGGAAACCTTTATTTAAGACTATTATTATTATTATTATTGGTATTATTATTATTATTATTATTATTATTATTATTATTATTATTATTATTGAGGTACTTCACTTAATAAGAATCATACGATGGTAGAATGGATTCCAAAATGTTTGTATGTATGGTTGGATATAAGTGTGAATTTCAACAACTAGAATCACATATAACACAAATACTTGTTCCAATGGATGCCCTTTTAGAATAATTCCACAAAAAGTAGGGTTTGGGGAGGGTGTATGGATGCAAACCTTACCCCTACTCGAAAGTAGAGAGGCTATTTCCAAAGAGACCCCATGCTCAAGCACCATAGGTAATCATGTAGAAAGCTTATCCCTATGTTTAAACCATAGAGCGGCTGTTTCCGAATGACCCATAATGAGCATCAAAAGTTGCATTGACTAAGTCCTACTTCACTACTATAAGAACAATCACAATTTAATGACCCATTTTGCTTTATTCCCCAAAGCCAATAATAATACGGAGTAACAATAATAATAATAACAACAACACCAAAACAAAAGGGTGCAATTTCAGATCAATGATGCCCTTGCCATTGATCATTCTCCATGTGGATCTCTTTGGTAAACCAAAGCAAATATGTAGATAACAAGCCATTTAAGATAACCTTTGTACATCATTAGGTTGAGAATAATATGAACACATATTACATTGTAATGGAGTCAATAGCACTCAAAAAAAGATGACCGTTATTCACACAAAAAAATCAATTCAAACATAATAATTATTATGATTATATATATAAGTGTACACATAACCGTATCTAGCAAAATCAAAACTTCTACTCCAGGAAACTCTTTAGGGTAAAATTCAACTGTTTTAACTCATGATTCCTTGTCTAAAATTTCATAAGCGCCTCAAAGATCTTGCATAATGTTCAAATTGCTATTCAAGAGAAGATTCAATTATGTGTTCTTTATTCATCAAATCGTCCTCAAAGGCTAGCCGTCCTCATAAATAGATAAATAAATACTAGGAAAATTGCAGGGCAAAACTTATCTTCAACATAGCAAATTAAATACAAAACAAATCAAATATTTTAATTTTAATGACTCACCTCTTTAGATGAAATTCGAGGATAATTAGGGTTGAGACTTGCAGAATCAGACACGGGGATCGGACTGGTCTTCCTCTGCCTCTACCGCGTTAGATGGTGTTATATATACATACTCTTTTTTTTTCTTCCTCGAACTCCCTCTAAAAAGGCAGGTCCAAAGTTGTTAGAAATTTAGATTTGATACCTAAACTTTAAAATTTTTATAAAAAACCCTGAATTGTTTTTTATTTGAATTTACAATGTACTATCCGTTCACAGTATTCTCAACATATTAACAAATAAAAAAATCAAGTAAAACAAAAAAAAAGTTAATCTTCTCTTTTGAAATATTTATTTGTTCTTTATTCTTTTTTCTGCCTCTTCTCATTTTTTTACTTTTTTTCCTTTTCTTGTTTTCTTTCTTTTTGTTTCTTTCTTTTTTCCTTTATTTGTCTGTTTTGTTATTTTTTTTCTTTTATCTTTTTATCGCTTTCTGTTAATAACTGTGTTATTTTATATTTAATCAATTCAATTAAACAAAAAAAATCAAACCATATGTCTTAACTTTTTTTGCTTGTTATTTGAATTCTTCTATTTGTTAAGGGTTTTTTGTCTGTTTTAATCTTTATGAAAAATTAAAGAAAGCAAGCGATTAAAATAAGCCTTAAACCAATACATAAAAAAAGAAAGAAAAAAAGACAACAGAATTTTTTTAAAAAACTAAGACATATAGTACCTTTTTTTATCAAATTAAAATTTTAAATAAAATAACACTACTTAATAATATAAAAAACCGAAATAAGAATAGTTAAACATGAAATAAGATAATTGTACGCACAAAACAGGACGAACACAAGTTTAGATTAATTCTTACTTCCTCATTTAAAAATTTATAAAAATAACAAACAAAATGATAAGAATAAAAATAAAATAAAAATAACTAATTAATCTTTTTGTTTCTATTATGTTTATGTATTTATTTATGACTTTTTTCACTTGTTCTGTTTAATTGTTTACAATAAAAATAAATTGAAAACAAAAAAATTTAAATAAAATAAACAAAAAAAATAGTTAAAACATATGGTTTGATTTTTTTGTTTAATTAAATTGATTAAATATAAAGTAACACAAGTATTAACAGAAAAGATAAAAAGATAAAGGAAAAATAACAAAAGAGATAAATAAAGGAAATAGAAAGAAAAACAAAAAACAAAACAAAGAATAAAGAAATGAGAAAATGTACAAAAGGAATAAAGAATAAATAAAGATTTCAAAAACAAATTAAAGAAAAGAATAGAAAACGAAGACAAATACAGAAGATTATGACGGTGAAAAAAATTAAAAAGGAGAAATAAAGAAAAAAGAGCTGAGCAAAATGAAGAAAATTAAAAAGGGAGGAAATGATAAAAAAAAGTAAAAATGAATAAAAAAAATATTTTAAAAAGGATCAAAAGAAAAAAGGAGTAAAAGAAACGAGAAAAAAAATAGTGAATAAGAAAAAAGAAAATAAAGAAAAAACAAAAAAAAAGAAGAAAAAAAAAGGAAGAAGAAAAAAGATACAGAAAGCGGAAAAGGTTGAAAAAGAAAAGAATATAGATAATGGGAGTGCAAGGAGAAGAAAAAGAAGAAATGAAGGTCAACCGTGGTCCGAGGAACAGTGAACCGTCGGAGTCTCAGTCTCAACCGTAGCGACCGAACGGTCGACTGCCGGTAATAATGGTCGACCCTCACGGTAGCAGAAACTGGACAGAAACTTGTTTGAACCTAAATGTTTATCTAAGTATGGTTTCTTATATCCAACATTGTATGTTTATTATGTATGATATATTATTCTTGGAATTGATCCAACGGTTTGTATAATCACTCATCTCATCACGCATGTCGTAGGATTCATTCAAGTCATGTCTAGGGGTGTAAATTGATATTAATATGTGTCATTACTAACTCCGAATCCATTTATTTTTGTTGAATATCGAATTCGGATACGGATCTTGACAAATACTGAAAATCAAAACAGTATCCGCATCCGTCTGATATCGAACAGATATCGGATATCCCCGTATCCGTTTCTTATTTTTAAAATCAAATTATACAATATTTTAATTTTAAATTAGATTAAAATCAAACTATTATTAAATCAACTATAATTTGTTATGGGATAATGATTTTTTTTATTTTCTTGATTTATGATATTCTACGATAACTTCATATGATAAAAAATATACACAACACACATATACATATATTTTTATATGTCTGCACATATTTTTATGTGTGTACACATTTATTTTGTATATAAAAATGTTTTATACTTTGAAATATGAATAGAGAAACAAAATATAAACATAAAAAATAAGGAAAAACTGTATATAACGGATCAGATATTCGGATAAACGGTTATTTAAACGGATGAATATTTGGATCGGATTTTGAATGGATCGGATATATAATTACCAAATTCGTATCCGTTTAGTAATCAGATACAGATAATATCTGTTTAAAACGGATGCGGATATTTCCTCTTTAAACGGATACGGATGCAGACGGTAATCATGTTTTCGGCTATCTGTTAACAGCCCTAGTCATGTCATACCGCCTAAGTGGTCAGGCCTAGTGTGCCTCTTAGCGCGGGCCCGTCCAAGAGCTTTCGCGTCCAATTGGTTTTGTATGAGGGCTTTGTGTACGTACATGGCATTCAGGTTTTCAAATACCACCCGCAATATTCTAGTCTCGTATGAGACTAAGGTTTGCCCAAATCATTACCCTCGTGGAGTGATCTCGGAGCGAAGAGGGTCCCTGCACGGCTAACTCATGCATCATGACATTCATCTTGTTCCATCATCATCACTACTACAAAAACAAGCAAATGGACTGCCTCAAATGCATCGGTTATTAAAAAACCGATGCAAAAGGTCTAAAGCATCGGTTTTTCCAAAAAACCGATGTCGTTGCTATTTTTTAATTTTTTTTAAAAAAATTGAAAAGGGTATTAACATCGGTTATTCAAAATAACTCATGCAATTGATCAATAGCATCGGTGATTTTTAATAACCGATGCTAATATCTATTTTTATTTTTCGATTTTTTTATACTAAAAACTAAAAACATTGGTTCCTCGGCTTTTTGACCGATGCCAAAAATCCAATGCGCGTTCTATTTCATTCTCTCTCTCTCTCTCTTCTCGTTCTCAATTACAAATCGCATCTTGATCATATGTATGAAAATGTGCGACTCAGATTGGTGCGAAACATAATGCACTTATTATCCAACACCGTTGACGACAAGACCAATGTATTAATCATTAGATAACTTTTCAAAATGAATCTCTTTGATATTTATACGTGTACCTTGTATCTTGTACTCCCTCCGTCCCATTTTAAATTGCCTATTTGTCTTTTTTCCCCGTCCCAAAATAAGTTGCCTGTTAGTTGTTTTCGTGAACTTTTAAAAATAAAATACCTAAACTACCCCTAAAATAAGTCACACTTCTTCACCTTATCTTCTCATTCATGATCACCCCTCCTAAAAAGTAATGTCAATTTTGAAAAATCAACTCTATTTTTTATTTTCCTTAAATATGCCCAAAAGTCAAAACAGGCGATTTAAATTAGAACGGAGGGAGTAGTATTTATTATCCAAGTATATGGAATTATGTGACCAATGTGATGCATGGTATTTAGGTATAAATATGTTATCGATCTCTCACGTTATCGTACCACTCAACTTTATGTTGAGCGTGTAGTCTTTTTGTCTACACGTAGGTTTAAGCACATGCTATGTGAACCACCCAGAAGACGAAGAGACGATAGGATGAGAGGTTGATATGCATGCTTTTCACAAGTATTCCATTTGAAGTTTTGGGCTTGACACGCACCATTGTATTTGTATTATTTAAGTCTTCCACTATCTCCGACATTTTGTAAAAGATCGATCTGATTTCAATATGTTGTATTTTGACGTTTTGTTTTATGAATTTTATTATTGATTTGAAAAGGGTTTTTAAAATATTGCTCCTGTTTCACTTTAATTCCTATAAGTCCGGGTTATACAAATTGTGGTGTTACAATCTTAATTTGTACTCCCTTCGTTCTAAAATTATCTTTTCTGTTTGATTTACGAGGTTTGACTAAAAAAATTTTTATTTAATTTATTTGATTATAGGTATAAAATTAAAAAAAATTATACGTATATTTTAAAACTACATCAAAAGTCCTTCAAAATTATACGTGACTGAGATGATTATTTTAGGATAGAGGGAGTACAATTGTTAATATATATATATATATATATATATATATATATATATATATATATATATATATACACACGCCAATAGTTGATTAAATAAATTTGTTCTTTTAAAAAAATATAACCTCTAAATTTTTTTTCTGCATAAATCTTAATCATTTAATTTCAAGTTTTCTTAATCTGATTGATAAATAAATAAAGAGTTTAATTTTGAAAAAGGAATAGATTTTCTTTAAAAAAACAGTTTCTATCTACTGCGTACTATTTATGTAAAAGCAAAATATGCTGCTTCAATTTGTGGGTAATAATAAGTTGTGTTTTTGTGCGAAAAAATGCTGCTACTCATTCTCAAACTTCACTTGTCTTGAATGTTAATGGAGTATCATAAAACACTTATCCGTATAATATTCTCCTTTTAGTCCTATTTATGTTTCTAATGCTCTAAGAAACATATACGGAGTACTCCGTATAATGGTGTCATAGAAAACCAAGTGGATGAGGGTCATCATGGCGCCACCACAGCTATTATTGGATGCTCTACACGTGTCAACCGTGACTTGATTTTTGTTTTGTTTATTGTTTTTTCCCCTGCAATATTTAAAACTACTACCTCCGTTCCGTGAAACATGGGACATTTGCTTTTTAGGAGGGATTTAAGGGAGTGTATTTTGGTATTGAATTTTCAAAAATGTCCTTTGATGTGATGGGTAAAAGTATGATTTGATGGATAGATTATTAGTAAAAAAGTATGATGTGATAGTTAGGGTATTTTCACCCGTGCGATGCACGGGGTCGACGAAATTTTTGTCAATTCTGATTTTTTTTTAATGCAATATATTTTCCAGATCA